GCAGGTGACGGAGCCCTGCTACGTCAGTGTGCACACATGGCCGTGCAATTTGGATTCTGCTAATTATCTGTTAGTCTCTTCTTGAGGAATGTCGACTGCTCTGAAGCAATGATTTTTCAGCTAGCTTTCCTCCCTCCAAATGCCAGGTCTGATCCTGACAGTTGGAGAATCATCACAACTGAAAATGAAAGAAATCTGGATTCAGATTCTGCATGTACTGTAATTATTTATGAGTTCTGTAATCTTGATTTCAAACCCCAAATTTCTTGTAATCCTTAGTTTCCTCACATGGTACATGAGGATCATAATACCTCTTCCACAGGGCTTCGCGAGTGATCCAATGGTACGATCTGCTTACAGTACTCGACACAGTGTACGCAGGAGGTACTCTCCACAAACACTCGCTGGGCAGCAGATATGCGGGAGCGGAGGGCATAACCCTGCATTAGTTTTCTTCAGCCACCTTGACTTCCTGCTCTGTCTTAAGGAGGCTTCTGGAACTCTGGGCAGCCAGCACAAGAACTGTGACAAAAAGGTCAAGAAACTCACGGCAGAGATGGCGACCGTGATTTGTAGGCGAAGACTGAAGACCTGGGCCCTGAAGCGGGAGACTCCAGGACACGGAGGCTCAGGGTGAGGACGATGCCAAGTGTACGTCTATCTCCTTCGCAGCTAACAGAAAACAAAATGGGCTGAGGACACAGTGTGGTTAGAAGGACACACGGGCAGGAATGCACGAGACAGCCGGGCAAGGAGGCAGCGCCCTCATCTGGGAAGATGGACAGGCCTCTGCTGAGCAAGCGCCACAGCGCCGCAGGACTTTTAAAGGTAGGCGAAGCCCTCTTCTCACACAGTGTTCACTGAACACAGTCAGGACTCTTCCATGTTTCCAAACAGTGATGCTGCTCCATAAGAACGTAGAGTGCACAACCAAGAACAAAACCTGGAAGGAGTCTAGGCCAATTCTGCTGTACGCGCTCTCTGATTTTCCGTATGACACGAGCTGCACAGGGGCTCTGCTAGTCACCCTTCATCAGTCGGCCACCCACTCTGCAAACAGTCTAGTGGATGGGGATGGAGAAGAAGGAACGCAGCCTGAGCCCAGGGCTGTTCTCGTTAGGAGCAAATCCCAGTAGCTCTCCCGCCATGTTGCCGGGAGCACGTGGGAACTACGCCCGAAGTAGCCACCGAGCCCGGCCCGTCGGTACTGGCCAAGGGACTCAGGAGCTCTGCTTTCTGATCTAAGACTGCAAATGCTCTACTTGTTGCTCTAACACATGACCCTACTGGCAGAAAATCCCCTTGACGGTCGCTACACAGCCTTCGCTGTCTAGAAGGCCAATTCTGAGCAGCTGAGGCACAGGCACAAAACAGATGGTGGCAAGCAGCAGGAGACCGTACAGGGTAGAGTCCTGAAGAATGAGAAAATGGCGCTCCTCTGGAGCCGCGAGGCGGAGGGACAGAAACAGGGCACACATTTTAGTCCGTCTTTCTTGCCCTAAAGAGCAAATATTTCTGAAGAGCTAACATCACAGGAAACCTTGTAATACATCTAATGGAAAACAGTACTACTCCTTACCTGACTGTTCAGATGAGGAAACCAAAGCTCAGGGAGTGTAAATACAGGAGAGCAGACTACCGTGCTGGATGGAACTTGGACTCGGGAGTACAGGGGCGTGGGCAAGGGGCTCGAGTGCTGAACAAGGGACTTGTGGTTATGGCCAAGGTCCTCAGTTTAACGCTCATCTCCATTAAGTGCAACATACACGCAAGCAGGAACCATGTCTATTTTGGTCCCTATTGACCAGTTGTTAGTAAAATGTTTTTCAATGAATAAAATCCCATGACCAAAATAACTCCTCAATCGGATAGAGGTAAGTACTTTAGCATAAAGTAGGATAGGCCAGTCAAATAGCTCAGCAGATTAAAGCACCTGCAAGTAGGTGCAGGGGCTAGGGATTCATCCCAGACCTGCCTTGCCAGCCCTGCCCCCAGGGCGCACTGAGATGGCAATTGAGACTGAGTGTGGTGGCACACGCCTGTAATCCCAGCACTTGGGAGGCTGTAAACAAGAGAATCACTATGAGTCTCATCTAGTAGTGAGACCCTGAACACCCTGTAGACCCTCCCCTAAAATACAGGAAAAAAAAGATAAAGTAGGATAAATGCTACAAAAGAGCATGAACAGATTTCTACCACCAAGCTGAAAGACAGCTCAGACTAGGAGCACAGTTACTTCTCTACCTCCCACTCACCCTCTGCTGAGGCAGTACAATGGGGCTGGGAAGTTTCTTAGCCCACCTCTGAAGCCTGCAAGTACCGTGTCAAAGGGGCCTGTTTCCTTCGTATTGAACTTTCCTGCTTGGATTCCCAAGACCCCTGCCATGGGAGGTACAGTGACTCAACTAGCCCAGGTCTTTGAATATTCAGGGTATTCAAACGTTGATAAACCTCTCCTACCTTTTTAGTATGGACCTCAATTTTCTTGAATTTCTCCTAATGTATCTATACACTTATGTTCCTGCTGAATGGTTTGTGTTGTGAAACCAATTCATCATGTAAAGGACTTTAAGGGGCAGGGGGTCGGTAATGACCAATACTACCATGGTCTGGGATCTTTTAATTTTCAAAGCACTTGGAAGTTCAGCAAAGGGAAGCTTAATAGAGAGAGAAAAGAAGCGAAGGCTTAATTAGCTATACTCATAGATGACTGCATAAAACAAAAGGGAGCACATTTTCAAATATAAAGGTACTAAGAACAGAAATGTTTAGACCATTCGCAAGCAGTTCATGCATCTGCGCAGGCCCTGTACAACTTACTGAAGACGCAAAGCCAGCTCAGGCCCTGAAATGCCTAACAGTCTATGACAGGGTTTCTGAGACCCAGGTCTGAGACCCTCTGGGAGTGATACGTCAGGACTGCGGGGAGGGGTAGTTGTCCAGTGTAGCTCAGAGCGCAGGCAGTTCCTTCCCTCTCCACCCCAGATGCCCCTGGGAAGCCCTTCCATTGTTCCCAGCTATGACACCAGAGATTCTGCAGCTATTGTCCAATGCCACCAGGGGATGAAGCTGCCCGCCAGCTGAGAACCACCAGTGTGGGCAAGCAGGTAAGTTATGACACACCACGAGGTAAGTGCTATCTAAACTTCAGGAGCAGAGAACAGGGCTCCTCAACTCTAGAAAAGGGGGAGCGGATACTATAGAAAACTGCACAGAATAAATGATTTTTCATGCTCAGTATTTGAAAAATATTCAGTATTATGTTAAACACATGAAAACAGGGACAGTTAGGGTCCTAGTCGGAGTAGGAAAAGAATGAAGAAAGAAAGTTCATTCAGGCCGAGACAAAACGATGAACAAAGGCCTGGAGGCCGGAGACCATGGAACAGTCAGGCAATGAAAGACAGTCTGCAGGGTGGGGGTGGGGGCGGGGGGACACACAGAAACAAGACTGGGCTAAGGACGAAAGGAGCCTACATTTTAATATAAAGAAGCCAATGTACGTTTGAAGCTTTTTGTGTTCAAGATTGAACCCAGGGCCTTGTGCGTGCTACGCAGGAGCTCTGTCACTGAATCGCACCTCAGAACTCCGGGCTCTGGGTTGGAAAAAGCACTACTGCAGGCAACACAGCACCACTGGGAAATCTGGGTACAGAATCTGTTTTTTAGAGACTTTCCCTAGTGACAGAGCTGAATATGGGGAAGGGACAACAGGGAAAGTCGAAAGGCACAGAGCTTAGTCAGCATACACGCTTGGGCTTCATTTGGGGAACATTTACAGGGAAAAGCACAATGGCTTTGGGGTCACGCGAATCCAGTTGAACATTCCTGTGGATTGGCAGGACCTCAGGCACACGATTTGCTAAGCTCTATTTTCTTATTCTATAAAACGGGGCTGCCTACGTCACTTGATCTGCACAAAAAGCCTGTAAGCCAAGGGCAGGTGCTGGGTACTGCAGAGAAGCACTCGGCAACACAAACACGCATCTCTCCCACTGAGTCTCTTCATGAGCCTCGTGGAGCCCACGTAACTGCAAGCACGGGGAGCTGGAACAGATCGTTAAAGGACTTTCTACTTGATGTAGAATAGATAAGAGTTGTTTCTAAAAAAAAGATTTTTGGACTGACCGCCGTGTTCTTGAGAGTGAACGCCATGCTAGAGAGGGGTCAGCACTTACTTTGGGATCAGCCAGGATGTCTTGTAAGACTGAGATCAAAACAGCAGTAGACAATGTGAGCACTCCGTGTGCCTTGGGCTCACAAGTGTCGCAGCCCTTCTCTAGTTAGCAAGCCTGCATCCATCCCGTGGTCGGGAAGTAAGCATTCAAATACTTGATCTGCGTATAAATCCTCCAAATCAAGTTGTGCTTGATTCCCACAGCTTAGCCTATCAAAGCCACAGCCAAGTTTCCCTCTACACACTCCCATTTCATATCACTAAGCACTTCTTCATTTGTGAGCATTTATACCTCTCTTGGAGAAAACAATCTTTAATCTGTTTTCTCTTGTCACTTCCCTATTTATCATCACAATGGTAATACATCGTCAGGTAAGAGAAATATTCCCTATTACAGTACAGGGCTTTGGGATATACCCGGGTACAGAATCAGGGCCAGAGCAGGCAGGGTGCAGTGAGACATCAAAGGCCCGGGAAGTGTCTGCAACTGAGGACCCTACGCCCAGGTCTCACAGAAGCACCCTCAAACTTTAACAGAAGATTCTGACACTCTATAGGCAATCGCAACCCCTGTAACCAAGAACCCGTCCTCCTGCCTAGCCACAGCGCACTGGATGCTACACTTCCTTTTCTAGTGCAGAGACTAGGTTCAGGTATACAGTTCACTGTAACAACTCCTGCTAGCAAGCCCGAGGTCGTGAGTTCGATTCCTATAGCAAAATATGAACAAAACCAAAACACAGGAGAGGCACGTGTAGTGCAGACGCAGTGTCCCGCCTCTGAGCAGTCTGAGTGGCTCATGAGGAGAGCTCAGCAGGCTTACCTCTGCACAAGGGTTCCGAAGACGAGGCGAAGACACTTCTGCATGTTCTCAGTGCATAGCCATTTCCACTGCTGCATTAAGAGCAAGAGGATCAGATCCAGGGCCGTGTCAGCTAACTCTGTCTCCGTTCCTGGGGGACAAAAAGCATCACAGTCACTCTGGAGAAAGCCCCATGCGAGGGGGCAACTGAGGGGCCTGGGTGGGCTCTGCCACCTTAGTATGGGGCCTCATACACATTTATAATCCCTATGTACTGAAATCAGGAGATCAGGCTCTTGTGCTAAAAGAGTGTTGGGCTGTACGTCTTCACAACTCTTCTACGTTCCTCCTATTACCTAGAGTCTTCTTAAAAGATTTTACACCTAATTACTTTGTTCACCTAGTTTCCATTTCTGTCCTATCTCCCCTGCATGCTGAATTCATTGTGTTCCAAGGAGGAGCTCACAGCTGATGGCTGACTGGAACCGGCAAGGCTCTGGCCTTCCACCCGCCCCCACAGTGCGCCATGGAAAGGGTGTGGGCAGCCTTGGGAAAGCTCTAGGCTACCTCTCCTGCGAAACCGTCTCCATCACACAGACCCGTGGGGCGCACACTCAGAGGCTCTAGCTTGATTCTGAGGTGCCACGTGGCCCAAGCAAAAGCTCCACCCCTCTGGAAAACGCATGACATTCATGGGTTCGCCCCTGGTTTGAAGACCTGAAGGGCCACAGAAGAGCTCATGTTTGCGCTGAGCTGGGCTTTCCTGAACATGTGTGTTCTATGGACAGGAGCATCTACTCTACACGTGTGCCACGTAGGTTGGAACGTGTCCCAGGCAGGGTGGATGTTCCTTGTCACTTCTGATTTGCTCCCCCGGAACTCTGCCGGGAGGACATGCTATTCCACGAGAATGTGGGACGCCTGGGCTTGCCGCGGTGGCTGGCCTTACAGCCACCCAGCATGTCCGTCGGGCTAGGTCTCCAGGGCGTTCTCTCAAGCACTCTGCCTGAGCTGTCACCCTTTAGAACAAGAGCACCTCAGCTCTGCAAGGAGGTGCCAGAAGTGAACGCTGCGTCCCTCTAAAGCTGATCGAAAGCATGCTTCCTCTACCTGCGCTGTCTCCAAGGGGCTCGGGAGCTGGTGAACTGCTCTCTGGATACTTGCTCAGCGAGGGGCTGTCCTACTTCCGGAGAAACAGCACCCCCTCACTGCAGTTACTGCCTCAGGTTTAGCACTGGCCTGTGGCTCCACCATGTGGCAACACTCGGTCACAGCAGTAAAAAATATCCCACAGCAAAGCGGAGCTAGGTTGTCCTTAAGGAAATTTCTCTCACAGGAGCATTTGGAGTCTCCGAAGCTAGAGGAGAGGAGGGCTCAGGCGTAAGCTCTCCCTGTAGAGATATGATACTCAAAATCTGTAGGCTTGATTTTAAGTGCAGTGTGTTACTTTGGTCAGTTCTGTTACTCACGATGTCATGAGTCCCGGGATGCCTTGTCACACCACTTGCTTTACATGATCTGCAAGTCCCACCTGTCACGTCCTTACACTGAGGGCCACAGACCAGAGGTCAAATGATTTGTTCACACAGTGCATGTGACAATAGTGGAGCTGGCTGCTCCTGCGGTGGTGACCTTTTATTCCTGACGGAGGTCTCTGTCTCAGTGGAATCCACGACCCCTCTTCTTTGACATTCTAGCTCAACCAGTATACTAATTAATACTTAGGGCTCTAGAGCTTTCCTCTCTAGAATACATACACCTGCACGTCCTCTCCTGGGAAGCAAACCTGCCCTGCCTCAAATGCGCACAAGCAGAAAGCGGAGTCTGCGCCCCTGCCCTCTGCCCGCACTACTCAGCAGGACGAGGCGGGGTCATCTGCCACAGCAGCAGCACAGCAGAAGGCGCAGAGCGGGGCAGAAGGGTGCATCTACTTTGAACAGGTTGCATCTCAGCTGCTGGAAAGCATCTTATACAGGCGGCATCAGCACTTGTGTAAGAGTAGAAGCCTGCAGGGTGGGAGGGTCATCCAGGCACAATGTGCAGGGGACAAGTAGAGAGCCATACGTGAACGCCAGAAGGCTGGGAAGGAAAGACACTGGAGCACAAACGGGCCACAAAAGCAAAGCAAACCAGGAAGCTGTCATCATAGACAGCAAGGTAAGAAGACGTTTCTCGCCACAGACAGTAATCTCAGAAGGCCAAGTCTGCCAAATTGTCTGAAACAAGACATTGACGGATCTGTTCCTGCTGGGTCAGAACTATCAGTGCCTGCGCCCTGCTCTGCTGTGTGAGGGGTGGTGAAGACTGTGAGCTCCTCACCGCTGGCCCGGCGCCTCTCATGCTGGAGTTCAGCTCATGGCTCACTCAGCTGAACACAACAGCAATTGAAGCCCCAGAGTCAGCTCTTCCGGGTCCTTGGCTCCCTCCCTCCTACTTACCTGGGTCACCGCTGCCCGGGTCTTGGGTGGACACCGCTGCACCTGACAAGCTCCTGTCCACACACCCCTTGGGCATGGGCTCTGGGGCTTCTGTGGGCTGCATTTCCAGTAATTTTGTCTGCTTTTTAATAAAGGATTCCATTCCAGACATGGACAGGACTTCTGACTCCTGAAGAAATAGCCAAGGGCACATCGCGTAAGGAAGGCAAGCAGTAGGGAGAACGCGCGCACTCTCAAGTTTCCCCGTATCTCACTTGCAAAAGAGCTGCGGGCCTAGAGGCCGCTTCAGGGAAGTTTCTCTTCACTCAAGGTGCAAAGCAAACAAACCTGGCACAGCACGATCACTTCTGAACCACTCTTGGGTCTCTGTTCTCTTCTGGAAATGGACTGTTCTTCCTGTCACTAATATCTCAAGCCTACTACCTTTACAAAGCCAACCTGACAACTCAAGACTGGCAGGATTTCAAAGTCACTCAAAGAAAACATGTTTAACGTAACAATTTGAGGCCTGGAAGGCCTTTGGAAGGACACCAAGTGCTTCCTACTACTCTTCTCACTGCAGGGGCGACAGGACCCGCCTTAACCCTTGCAGTCCTCTGGGCTGCTTTGGGCCTTACCATGGTGCTGTCCTGGAGACCATAGAGAATCCTGTCATGTGCTTCTGTCACAGTCAGTGCTGGAGCAATTTTGCTGGACGAGAATCTCAATCTGGACCTGGTACAGAAATGAATGGCAGAAATAGTGTCACGCATGGCTTTGGTCCTTGGACAAAGGCTGCAGCACTGCTCCCACATGAAGGCAGGAACACTCATGCTTAGTCTTGGGGCTGCATGCATGGGGGGCCAGGAAGGACTGAAGCCCTCCCAACAAGGTGCGTCCTGGCAGCCCTCCACAGACACAGCGCCTCTCGCACAGAGACCTCTTACGTCTCCAATGCGTTCATGAAGAGGCTTTGGCTAGCAGGCCAGAGGCCAGCTTGGCACGGTCATGTTCTCACAGGAGTTCATACTATGCACATTCAAAGCGTGTTGAAAATTAAGTAAACAGCACAGACCAAAGATTTTGTTTTGCTTTGTTTTAGATGAGGCCTTTTTTTTTTTTCCTTAATGTATTCAGTACAGGCTCTACCGGGTCTCACTACACAGCCCAGACTCAGTGATTCTCCTGTTTTCAGCCTCCCAAGAGCTGGGATTACAGGTGTGTGCCACCATGCCCAGTCTCAGTTGCTGTCTCAGTGTACCCAGGGGCCAGGGCCGGCACAGCAGGCCAGGGATCGAACCCACGGCCCCTGAGTCTGCCTAAGCAGGTGCTTTAATCCACTGAGCTATCTGGCTGGCCCGACCAAAGATTTTTGTTAATGCTGTTGGTACCTTTTTGGGGCAACCACTTATTCCCCTGCTAGAGAAAAACTGCATGTGGTTAAAAAAAAAAAGTCTCAAGAAACAGAAAATTCAACAGAATAGTACGGTGATTATCTTTAAAACCTGGGCATAACTTCAAAACACAAAGCACTGTGGGTCTGGTATTGCCAGCCCTTAACATGGACAGAGACAGGGACAAACAAGGACAGTCAGGGCCCTGCCATGTGCTCTCTTGCTCTGCTTCCTTGTAATGATCCTGATTCACACAGAATTTCCAGTCAGGCTAAGTGTGGAGCCCCCACCTTCCACATGTTGGGGTGGAGAGCTGGCAAGGAACAGCTGGCGCCTGAGTGTAGGAGAGAGCGGCAGTGGTTGCCCAGTTACTAAAACAGGCCCTGTGGGTTTCTATTCTAGCCCTTTCCTGTTTATTGCTAGAATACGCAATTTCTGAGCCAAAAGTTCCAGAAATGATGGCAAACAGAGAGGGTTATAAGCCTTAGTAGGAAAGAAACAATTTCCCAGAAAGACAGAAAGGAAAGCATGGAGTTTTCCTTGTCATAGCTCTGGTCACCTGGGGCCCTGGTGCCCATGGCAAGAGCAAGCTGCCTTTGTGGTACAGCTGGCTCTCCTGTGGGGCACCAAGCAGCCTCGGGCTCACTCATCCAGAAGCAGGTATATGTGCTCTCCCTCCACTCCTCCACGGCGTGCCAACACAAGTGAGCTCCGGCTCGGCTCAGGGCTGGGGATCGACCTGAGACCGGGGCAAGGCTCCCGGGCCCTGGGGCTCCTCACTTGCCGGCCTTCTTGCCTTCTGTCTGTGGCTTGCTTTCATTCTCAGCCTCACTCAGCTCCTCCGTGGGGCTCTGGGGCTCGGAGCGCGGGAAGGCCGTCTTCAGTGTGTCCACGATGGCACTGACCACCATCTGCAGGGTGGGGGCGCAGGCTCAGAGAGGGCACTGAGCCCCCAGAAGAAGCCCTGAAGTGCAGAGCAATCACCTCACCACGCTTTATGCAGCAGGCAGGGGCTGGGGGACAAGCACAGCCTTGCCCATCAGCAGTCACACACCTGTCAGGACATCCGTCCCCCTTTCGCTATGGCTGGAAAACCTTCTTATTGCAGAGTAAGACAAACAGTGCCATGGAAAAAGGAGGCAAAACAGATCATGAAATAAGTAAAACCCAACCTGGGAGTTTTGTAGGCTGGTGAATGCTTTTCATGTTGTGTTCTTTCCTTTTTACATAAAAAGGTGATTTCTAGTCATGGAGAAAGGAAACTTTTTTTTTTTTTTCTAGTCAAGTCAAATAATTTCTTGAGGTACAAAAAACTATCATTCAGATCAAAATTAAGATATTCTGGAGTTAATACAAATTTCATACTCCTAAGAGCAAATCTTACAATCTTCATATATGAAAAAGAACAGTCTCTATTGCTCAGAATGGGAAAATAGCAGACAGACTTTTGCTTAAAAAAGAAAACACACAAATAAAATCCTGAACTAGCAAGAAATGGAGGGAAGCCCTTCCTTCCGTGGGTGCCTCTTCCTACTACACACTGCTGCCAACAGCTGCACCAAGCCTGTGCTCCCTGGCTTGGTGACAGTCTCCCCCAGGGAGCACAATTAGCACTTAAAGGCAAGGCTGAATGTCACCAAGATCCCTGGGAACACCTGGAGAACACACCAAGGAAGACACAGAGGACTGCATCACTTACGGATGTAGCTGAGAAAATATAACTTGCTCTCTTGACTCAGGAACTGCAGTGTGCGGTAGGGTCCTCCTGTGTCCCACTACTCCTGTGTCACTGACATAAAGCATGGAGCCGGCCTCAGCGCCGTCACTGAGACAGCAACCTGCCTGCAACTCCGTGTGGTTCCTCCCACAGCAGTGGAAGTCCCGACATGTGTCCTCAACAGCAGGGGATGTCCCCTGACATCCGTCCTAAGCAGAGAAGTCTCCTGACAATTGTCCCATGCAGTACATGTCCCCTGAGGTCTGTCCTAAGCAGTGAAGTCCCCTGAAGTCTGTCCTATGCAGTGAAGTCCCCTGAAGTCTTTCCTATGCAGTGAAGTCCCCTGAAGTCTGTCCTATGTGAAGTCTCCTGATACCCGTCCTATGCAGTGAGTCCTCTGAGGTCTGTCCTATGCGGTGGATGTCCCCTGAAGTCTGTCCTATGCAGTGAAGTCCCCAGAAGTCTGTCCTATGTGAAGTCTCCTGATACCTGTCCTATGCAGTGAGCCCTCTGACGTCTGTCCTATGTGGTAGATGTCCTGAGGTCTGTCCTATGTGGTGGATGTCCCCTGAAGTCTGTCCTATGCAGTGAAGTCCCCTGAAGTCTTCCCTATGCAGTGAAGTCCCCAGAAGTCTGTCCTATGTGAAGTCTCCTGATACCTGTCCTACGCAGTGAGTCCTCTGAGGTCTGTCCTATGTGGTGGATGTCCCCTGAAGTCTGTCCTATGCAGTGAAGTCCCCAGAAGTCTGTCCTATGTGAAGTCTCCTGATACCTGTCCTACGCAGTGAGCCCTCTGACGTCTGTCCTACGTGGTAGATGTCCCGAGGTCTGTCCTATGTGGTGGATGTCCCCTGAAGTCTGTCCTAAGCAGTGAAGTCCCCTGACGTCTGTCCTATGCAGCCCCATTTTGTTCTAGATGAGAAGACGGAGGCCCCGCCCTTTCCCCACTGGGGCTGTAGTTCTCACCCATGTATGCACACGGCTATCTTCTAATGAACACACACCTCAGACTTCTTCCCTGGAGACTGGTGATAAAAGCCGGGCATTACACTGATAGGAATGGACGTACTCGACAGGTGTCCTACCATCTCCACAGCTGCTGGCCCACCTTTTTGAAGGCCCAGCTCCCTGCACTCGGTTCTCCAGGAGGGAAGCATCACGCCAATCCCAATCTGCCTACTGTCCTGTCTGCGGGCTCTCCTTCCTGCGTGATCAGTGCTGGCAATCAGCCTTCCCTCCAGAAGGAGTCCCCCGCCTCGGAAGGCTCACAGGTGCCCTGCACATCGCTACTAGCAGGACAACATCGGAATGTGCTGAGGAGAGGAGAGAGGCACACACTTCCAGGCTAGGGCACTGTGTGCTACCAGCTGCTCGCTAGGGCTCAGCAGGCTGAGGACCCAGTGGGATTTTGCACAAGGCCCTAGAAGTTCTTGCACATGTTCCATTGAGTGCTCCCATGTTCTAGCTCCCTCATTTTTCAACCCAGACTCTACGCCAACAAACGTGCATGTTTACAGGGAGGCAAAGCGCTGAGCCGCTGCGCTCTGGGTACCTTGTCTATTCTAGACACCATGAATGGCTTCTTGACAAAGGCGATGCGAGCATCTGTGTTCAGAGCAAGGAACTCCTGCACCTCCTCGCTGTCAGCGATCTCAGGAATGGCACAGAGTTGCTGCAAGGGTGAGAGAAGAGGATTTGAAGGAGAAATTTCTGTCCCCAGATCTCTCCACCTTCCCTTGGGTACGTGCGGGTCAGAGTGAGAACAAAGCTGGACGGGGAAATGCTGACCTTGAGGAACGACTCCAGGAGGCTCTTCCGGGCTTCCACTCTGTCACTGTCCATGTTTCCAAATGGAAGATCTGGAAAGAGCTTTTTTGGACCCTTTACATCTTCAAAACAAAACAAAGTTCACTCATTAACATTCACAAAGAGCTTATTCATAAAAAATCTAAACAATTACTAGATATACTTCTGGATTTTTCACTTAAGAGTTCCAAATACACCTGCAGGGGGATGATACATCCATGCATGTCCACTTCTTGTTACTAGAAGTATAACAATGGCCAAAAGGGAGGCTCTGAATGCCAGCGGCCCAAGTTCTAAGCTCCACTGTAACGATGACTGCGCATTTTCTGCGAAAAGGGGATGCTATGGTCCCCCCAAAATAAGACCGAGCCAGAAAACTATCAGCCAAAAAAAAAAAAAGTACTAGAGGTGACAAATGCCAGCCCAGCCAGCCTCTCCTGGCTGCCCCACTGTCACTCTTGCTCGGTGCCCACTCTGTAAGGCAGGGAATGCAAGGACAGACTGAAGGGGGTGGCATTTTGGGTCTCTAGTCTCCACAGATGACTGTTTTCTAGTTAGGTCTTATTTTCAGGGAGTGAGATTAGCACTTGTCTCACAGCTTGTTACAAGGATTAAACATACTAGCAGGTGTGAAGTGCTTGAGAGAGAACCTGTGCTGAACAAGCGCATCTCAGCATTAGCTGCTGTTATTAAGATACTAAACGTGTACCATATGCCCAAACCTACCAAAAGGTTTATTTGGGTGATTTGCATTTTTTAAAAACAAAGTAGCCAGTGATTAGCTTATTCTGCTTTTGTTTTACATTTAGCACAGGGTCTACAGGGTCTCACTACATGGTTTTCTTAAATTCATTACATTTTCTTATTTTCTTGGTGTGAGGATGTCAACAAGCACACAAAACATCTGGCTGTTAAAGGAAAGAAAGTGGTAAGTTCTGGGTAAATTTTACTATTTTACAATGATCAAGCTACAGCTCTGAAAAACTAATTTAACTGCTCTCACTGTCTGATGGATACAGGAAGAAACAGGAATGAGAAAAAGGGATTTAGCAGCCAAGAACGACCTCAGAAAGAACAGGATCAGAGCCATCCAGCATGACACGTCAAAACTTCCAGACAAGACTTGGGGAAGAGAGAACCCCAGTCCCGCATTCCCCTGTCCACAAACCCCATCAAACACTCAGGTCAGGGAGTAACAGGTGAGATGCAAAGGGGCGGTGCAGCGCCGGGGCAGGGGAGACGCTGACTTTTGATGAACTTCCGTAGATCTGGCTTCTCCTCCAGGCGGGTCTGCAGGTTCAGGAACTCCCGGTAGCGGCGGTTGACCGTGTGGTAGGCCAGTTGCTGTAGGCCGCTGCTGTTCTCACTGTTAAGGGCTGTCTCGTACTGTTGAAGGAACAGAGTTATTGACCGAGTGAGCCAAGTCTGGAATTTCTACTCCAGCTTTAATGACTACTTGTGCAATGGCACACAACAGCAGCACAGTGGAGACGGAGAGGGAGCTGACGTTCCTGTGTTACCGCTAAGTGGAATAACCCTTATATGTTGTGGACTTAAAGAATGAGATAAACCTTCAGATATACTCAGCCTAAAAAGTAAGAAATGACTTTCACTGCTCCTGTTTCTTCTATCCAAATGCTCCTTTGCCCAGATACGTAGCTTCATTTATAAAAATGGCTACATTATTCCTTTTTAATCCCAAAGATTGAGAATAAAACAGAAAGCATTTATAAAAGTGATTATAATTTCTATCACTTCTAAATTACAGGCTGGACTTTCTAAAGGGAAAACCATTTTGCCATTAACTCGATCAGTGATATTTATTAAAAGCAGGAAGAACAAACAACTTCAAACAGCAGATGGGCAGAAGTTATTTGTTTGCCTGGAATGAATTAAAAGGCATGTGTTTCTGTTTTGCTTTGGCAGATTAATCTTCCTAGTTGTTATTCTTAAAAGTAAACTGAACATTTTTCCTAAGCATAGCGTACATAATATGTGTATCATGGAAGTCACGTGACTGGAGATGTTGTACAGGGGCCGAGTGCACCACCTTCACGGGCTTGGAGGGCTGGTAGTGGGAAAGAGAACTTGTCCTAGGAGAGCGAGCAGCCTGAACGTAAGGGAGCTGTGGCTCAGTACAGCACAAATCCAACACAGCGGAACGTGGAGGGAGACCTACATAGGTGCTCATTCTCACAGCAGTAGGTTACTGTCATCCTCGGGCAGAGGCACTGAACTGTGGCCGGCAATGGCAACAGCGACCTCCTTGTTGGCTGGACTTCATGCTGCTGTACTGAAATTTTCCAGATAGAAAGATGCAGTGACAAGTAGCTGAGGAGAGCTAAGATTTCCAGACCAGCACGGAAAGGAAACACAGAGAGGTGGAATCTGGGGGCGGGGGACTCTCACTCGGAGACCGGAGCGTGGTGATGTGCTCTGCAGGATATTCTGCTCCTTGAGGGAGCGGCTGAATTTCACGTGTTCATGTCCATCTTATAAGCTGAAGACTGTTTACTATGACAAAGTGTAATAGAGCAGTCTCTTGCTAGCTCACGGTTCGACTTTCACAGACTGTTTTGTGAGCTTTCAAAAAAATATTAATCTAAATTATTTATCATAGATTGCTATATAATGGGATTTTGTAGTACTGTACAGTATAGGTACGTTATTAAAATTACGGAGGTTTATGAGTTTAGAAAATGATTAAGAATATGAGAAGTATTTTTAAAAGTGAGGTTTTTAAGAGTATGGGAAGGGTTTATAAAGACTTAAAATATATAAAAATACTAAAGTAAATATAATGTCGCTGATTTTCATTTATCTGGGGGTTTCTGGAACACAACCTCTGGGATAAGTGAGGGACTGCTGTAGTACTAATGCGTGATTTAGAACCACGCCCATAAGAAAATGCAAACCCAATCTCAAACTATGCACAACTGGCTACATGATTTTGCTACTCATTTTTCATTTATCTTTTTAATTTTTTATTAGTGAATATCTGCAGTACTAATAATTAATTTATTCTGGGAGTTGGTACATGTACATAACACATCTTAATTCCTTCCCCTGTCTCTTGGGGCCCTTATCTTTTGTACAATTCTGTTTCTTAAAATCGAGATTTATTTTGCTCTTAATATCTCAGGTTTCTCATGAGACCATAATGTTAAGTCACATAAATCAGACACACTTTACCCTTTTCTAATGTCAACTTTAAGTAGGGAGTGGCTGGTGTCAAAATCTGCAGTAAGGGAGGGCAGGCCAAATAGCTCAGTGGATTAAAGCACCTGCAAGCAGGTGCAGGGGCCGGGGATTCGATCCCCAGGCCTGCCCTGCTGGCCCCGCCCTCGGGGCATGCTGAGACTCCAATTGAGACTGGGCGTGGTGGTACGCACCTGTAATCCTAGCTCTTAGGAGGCTGTATACAGGTGGAACATTACAAGTCCAATCTAATAGTGAGACCCTGAACACCCTTTAGACCCTTCCCTAAAATACCAAAAAAAAAAAAAAAGAAAAAAAAATCTGCAGTAAAAAAGTAAAAGTAATAAGAAAAAGACTATAATTTAAACAATTTTTTTTATCAACTTAATTTTTCCGTTAAGGAGGAAGAAAAACTGTCATTTAATACAATATTGGAATGTTATAAGTAGAAGACGAAGTAACCGGAAGCCAGCATGAAGAAAGTTGTAGATCACCTGGAGTCACAAGAATAAAAAGACAGGCAAAATGTTTATAAAGACATACCTGTCCTTTGAGGCTGGGCTGAATTATTCATGACCAGATATCCCGACTCCTAAAATTTAGCTGTAAGGAATGTGTGTGTGTGTGGGGGGGCATACATGTGCATGTGAGTACACATTTCTAATTATTTCTATTGTCTTAACTTGAAAATGTCACAACATTCCGTATCAAAATGTTAGGTCATGTTGCAGAGGGGTTTAATAGATTAGCGAACTCTGGCTCTCCTTTGGCTGGATTAGGATTTCACCAAGAGGAATGTAGTACCCACATCTGTGGCTGTGTTTGGGCTCAGAATGAAAGAAATCCAAGAAGGCAAGTAAAACCCAACAGAGTCTTGCCCAGGATTCTTACCAAAACTGTTCCCTCCTAGTTTCTTTTTTTCTTTTAAAAATACTAAAATCTTTAGTATTTTGTTTTGGGAAGGAAGACTTTTCCTTCAGATGGTACAGTAAGTTCCTTATTCTTTGAGTGATTCAAGCATAAATTTGGGAACCACTTGCCAGAGAAAATATGAAATGGGCTGGTTAGACTACAGCAGATCCTTCAAAATGCCCCCCACACTAACTCTATGTTCTACTTAAAAAAATATATAGAATCCTTGAGTTCATTCTTTGAAATTCTCGTTCAAAATTTGTCAGTCTGTCAGAATTAGCATATGGTATTTAAAGAGCAGCCCAAGCAATTACGAAATGCAGCCAGGTTTAGCAATCACTAAAAACTGTCACCTTTAGTATCTATCAATTCTCAGCTGCTAGGATTGTTTGTGTGGGTGAGTAAAAGTCTACTCTGCTTAACAAATTAATTAGCTTTAGCCCATTCATTCACACAAGCTTGTTCAATTAAACACAGGAAAGTAAGTTATCTCCCCTGAGAACATTAGGTTCCGATTCTACTCTCCAAACCCATTCCCAGCCGAGTGGCTGCCCATGACTCTAATACAGTTACCTTCACAGTATAGAGCGTGTACGGGTGGAATCCAGTGCCACTGTGCTCTCGGGCCGTAATGGTGCCAGTAATTCGAAGATTCTGGATGACAACTGGCCCATCTGGACTGCTCAAGGGCTCAAAGCTGAAGGTGCCAGACCCGAGAGGACCAGGTGGAGAGGAGGAAAGTGAAACCTGTGGCAAAGTATGATCTAGGGAACTCATGCCCTCAGTGAGATCCTTCTCTAAGCATGAGGGGCGTGGGGGGCAGGTCTTTTCTGGCTCCTCCAGCAAAGCTGGAAGCGAGGCAGCATCCTGTTCTCCCTCCTTGTCTACACTGTCAATCTGGATCTCTGGGCAGGAGTTTAGCACAGACACCAGACCTGACTCTATTTCTGTCCCTGGACCCTCCTCAGCTTCTGCTCCTTCGATCCCCTCAGATCCCTCATCATCCTTAGGCTCCAGAACCTGAGAATCTTCTAGGGCACACAAGGCATCCTGGATTCTGTCAGAGAGGAAATTTCCTGGGGTCATTAGCATGATGGTTTCTTTACTCAGTTCAGAAAGGGGAGACTCCAGCTCTGAGTCTTCACATAAGAATAGGGGGCCTCGAATATTAGGCTGTAGAAAATGAGATGAGTTGTTTCCTATTTTTCTTTCTTCAAGCATACCACCCAAATCTGCCTCCATGGCTTCATGGCCTTCTTCAATCTCAGGGGAGGGACCTGCTTCACTGGAGTTCAGAAGCACTGGGGCCGCTCCTGGAGACAGGGCCCTCCCTTCCGCCGCACTCTCCACCTCAAGGATCAGTGGCAGAGACGTGGGCACTGCAGGCTGCTCCACCTCACCAGGGGTGTAGAGTGACTCAGCTGCTTGTGCAGGAACACTTCTGGGCCTGGAAAAGATGCCCACAAGTATAAGGTGGATCCAGTCAGGATCTGACAGCTTGTTGATTAGCGGTAAGATTACATTGCAAGTAAGGAGTTCGACCACTGCATGACGCCCAGTCTTAGTCTCCAAGTGGGGCTTAGGCACCAGACCTTGAAGCAACAAATTCACCACGCCACGTGCATGTGTGACCTCCGCGGTAGGGTTGTGCACCGCAGGGTGGGGGGCAGTAGCCCGGCAGTACGCCTCCCAGAGCTGGGAGGGCTGATCCACACTGCTCTCCTTCCCTTCAGTGGTCTCCTTGGCCTGAATGTAGCTCTGCAGGTGACAACCACAGAGAGTCAGGACCCTCTGGGCAAGAGCACGGCTGTCCACCAGGCCCATCCTCCTCCGGAGCTCCTGTACCAACCCTTTCATGGCCGCTTCCATCTCTCGCTGGAAGGCTGACTCCTGGCTCACGGAACCATACCAGGACAACACGAAATCGCGAATAATCATCTGGATGGTGCGGCTGATCTCCAGGTCCAGCTGTCTTTCTGCCTCAGGGCACGGAGGGCTGGCCGCCACCGGGATGAAGCGCTCCAGGTGCAGGCGACCCGAAGCCCCCACAACGGCACCGGAGCCCAGCCATCCTCCCAGCACCAGGAACAAGGCGGAGAGAAGGCACAGAAGCCACACGTTGACCAGGAGGTGGATGACCAGGAGCCAGCCGAGCAAGACCCCCACAGCCACCAGCTTGCGACTGCTCCACAGCCGACTGAGGTGGCGGGAGGCCTCGGCCAGCGCCTCCTGGGTCGCGGGCCCAGTCTCCGGGGGCCCGGTCCCCGTCCTCATGGCTGCAGGAGGAGGGCTTCTCTAGACGGCCGCCGCCCCCAATTTCACCTCAGGGCAGGCACGGGGCGTGAACTGTGAGCCAGGCGTACTGGAGGCTCCCTCCGGTGGGGGATGCGGCCGACCGGGCTCGGGGCTCCCGCAGTCCCAGCGCTACGAGGCGGCCGGGGCCGTCCTGCGTCTCGGGCCGCCGTCCCCGGAGCCCTCGGCCAGCCGGTTCCGGCGCGGGAGACGCGGTCCCGGGGCGCAGCGCGG